TGTCAGCAGAATGTGTTCCTTAAAATATCTTTCTTAAAGCGTAACCACAATGATCCGTGATGTCAACTGTCACATCCGCCTGCCAGAGGGAAAGTGAAATCACGGTGTGGTTACCAGACTCTTAAAAGGTAAAGGGGACACCAGAAAGGTTCCCATAAGTTAAGGGCAGGCTCGAGGAAGTTCTACCCATTTTTCTTTTTCTAATCATGTGCCTGAATTCACTGTTCTTAGGAGAAAGCACGTGCCTCTAATGATTAACATTCTGGGTTGTGGGAAGTGTGGTTCATTAACAATGTATGTCTTGTACTCCTTTACACACTCATCAGTAAGTCCGTGTAAATAGTTTCTGTGATGAGTAACTAGGTTTCTGAGATAAGTCCTTCCTTTTATTGCAGCTGATAACAGGATTATATGAGGTGGTAGGCTAACTAGCCAGAGGTTTTGATATATAATGGGAATTATTACACTCATTCAGTCCCCCTTCTGGGCTCCCCAGATGCCACCCTAAGTTGTTTATTGACAGTATTGGTACCTGGAGAATTTATTCAGAAGCAGTGGATCATTTTTCCCCTCTTCCCCACCCCCCAATTCACCTATAACTGTTTCCAAAGGAAAAATACCTTCAAAATTGGCAGGTTTTCTTATCTAGAGATAAGGATCACGTTGGTCATCAAATTTACCCTGTGCTTTTATTCACAGAGCTGCATAAAAACTTTGTCACCCAAAGCATCGTGAAGCTGCATACTCACCAGTTTCCAGATAACATGAAATATTACATAATCAATTATGGAAAATAATGAAATGGAATGTTGGCATGGGAAGCCCCCTCAGAGAGTGTTAAAACAAGGAAATCAATGGCTCAGGAGGAGTGTTAAAATTACAATCAGTCAAGAAGTCCTTACGAAGGGGCAGCCATGGGTCTAGACCTGCCAGCGCACGTGGGAAGGGTCCGAGGCAGATTCTCGGGGTGTTCATTGTGGGGTAAAGATGGTTGTTTATTCCACAAACACGGAAGGACAAGCAAGCAAGCTTATCTTGTGGGCTAGGTACCAAAGATACGTAGATGCCAAGCAGAAACCTTGCAGAAGCTAATTTAGTCATTTGTTTTTTTTCTCTGAACAAGCATTTATAAAATGCATCTTTTCTTTTCTTTTTCTTTTTTTTTTTTTTTTTGGCTGGGTGCTGTGCTGGGCACCGTTGGAGCTCCAGCTGCAGCCCTCAAGGAGGGCGGACAGATGAACAAGCAGTTATGGTACTTGGGGAAAACAGGCAGAGCAAAGATCCTATGTTAGACACAAAGGAAGAAATGATGACTTGAACAGTACAAAAAAGAAAAGCAAAAGTGAAGTGCTAATTATGGGAAATAGACATGTTCACCTGTTCTTGTAATTTCTGAAGCAGAGGAACCAGGAAATCGCAGGTTTTAAAAACCTGATTTCTTACTGCCTCTGGACGTAGGCAGCAGTGGTCGGAAGTGGGGATGAAAAAATATCCAGCCCCTTAGTAAGAAACTTACAGAGGATGTATCAGAGCAAAACTTTCATTTTTTCCTTGGCCATTGGCTGGCGTGTGCGCGCTCTTTCTCTCTCTCTCTCTCTTTCACACACACACACACACACACGTCTACACACACACACAAAGTTAGACACAAGATCTGAAAACAATACACCTCATTCTCTTTCTGAACATGAGACAAAAATATATTTCTGTTTGGAAGTGTGTCTTCAATGTCCCAAAAGAAAAGAAGGCCCGGAGAAGTCAGATTGTTTTACCATTGGAACATGGTTTGATCTGGACAACTGTTGACTATAGTATTTCTGTCCTGTTACGTATGAAAGTAAGGGACCATCATCTGCAGATGAAGAGGAAGAAGCCCTTAAAGAGAAAGCTCCCAAACTTCTGCTTCTTTTCATCTTCACTCCCTTTTCTCCCTTTCTGTGTGGCCAGCAGATAATCCCCTGGCTCTTTCATCTTTCAAAAATGGGGGCAATATATGCACTTTAAGGGATCTCTGTTCCCCCACCCATTTTGAAATTATGTGCAACGTTAACATGTGTAACAGTTGTTTCTGGGGAGACAATCTCAGGGGGGAGTATTTTAGGTTCCCCTGAATAGTGAAAAATAACTAAAGCTTCATAGCTCGCTCGCTCTCTCTCACATACACACACACCCCCAAAAACCCAAAAACATACCGTGGATGGAACCAAATTGTCCTCACAGACTGACAAATTTGAAATAAGATGCTGAGTGTGATTTTGTTGAAATGAGAGTGTAACAAAACCCAGGAGAGCATAGCATAGTACACCTTGTTTTGAAATCTCCAGAAGCATCTGGAGAGACAGTTCTGGACTGTCCCCTGGATGCTACAACATGTATAGTTCTGGGACATTTGGCCATAGCTCCTTGTGACAGTAGTTTGTGAAGAACATTTGTTGGGGGGAGTTTGCGTCAACCACCGCCCAGAGGGTGACGTGTCATAGCACACAACACTGGAGATTCTTGGGTAGAGAAGAACGTGACCTCCTGCTGTCACTAAGCCACGGCAGTCATGTTTGGGTGGATATTGTCCACCCTGAGACTCATTTTCGCAAGGTAGAGACTGCGTTTGTCCTGCCCACCATTATATCCCAGGTCTGGTACTCATACCTGCCAAATAATCAGCTCTTAAAAATACCTATTCACAAGTTCTTTTTTTTTTTTTTAAGATTTATTCATTTATTTTCTTATTTTTAAGGAAGATTTTATTTATTTACTTACTTGAGAGAAATAGAGAGCAGGAGCATGAGCTAGAAGCAGAGGGAGGAGAAGAAGCAGACTCCCTGCTGAGCAGGGAGCCCAACATTGGCCTCAATCCCAGGACCCTGGGATCATGACCTGAGCCGAAGGCAGAGGCTTCATCAACTGAGCCCACCCAGGGGCCCTTCATTTATTTTACAGAGACAGAGAGTAGGGGCGGGGGAGAGGGGGGAGAGGGAGAGAATCTTCAAGCAGACTCGCACCGAACGCAGAGTCTGACTCAGGGATTGATCCCACAATGCATGAGATGACGACCTGAGCAAAAACCAGGAGTCGGCCCCTTACCCAGACGAGCCACCCAGGCACCCAGGAATGAAATTCTTTTGGTCAGAACAGACTAAGTGGTTCCACATACTTGTGGTGGAGATGCTTGGGGATGGGTTTCCCTGACCAGAGCCTGATTATAGTTTTGTGTAGTTTCAGTACTACTGCTCTTCTCCTCCATAGAATCAGTGGGTCCATCAGGTGTGAGCCCTCTGTCGTTTCTTCATTTGTGTCTTATTTCATCCTCACAAAAAGAATCTCATCTATTTTTAGGTGAGAAAGTAGGTCTTAGAGAGTTAAGTAGTTTGACTAAGCTTTCAGTGCTGGGAAGTATAGAACTGAGTCTTCAGTCCATCTTTGTACCTTGGGTTCAGTGCGCCCTTGACTGTGTTCACTGTATCCTAAACTCATGCAAATAAAGTTCATCACAAGCTTCCATCAGTACTAATGAATGTGTGAGTGGAAACTTCCTAAGAATCAGCCAGCTATCTGCAGTTCCTTTGAATGGCTACTTAAAAATGAATTTGTTAAAAGTAAGTCAAATTATCTTCAGTTAGGAGATTCTAGCACCTCCTCATGTCATTTGGAGACAGCCTAAAGCTTGACAGAGAGAAAGAGAATTTTTTAGGAGTATCACTTAACCTCTCTGAGCCCTATTTTCTCATCTCTAAATTGAATATAATGATACCAGTTTGGGTAGCTTCAAAGACATATTCTATCAATTAAATCCAAAGCAATACACAAAAACTCACCAAAACTACTACGGAGCATATCGATGTCAGGTGTTACTTTTATAAATACATAGTGTATAGTCTAAATATGGCCACCACATTCGGAAAAACTGGGTTTTTGGCTGGTAGATACTACAAAAGGAAGATCCTGCTGTTACAAGTAGCCATCGCAGTGGATCAGTATGGTCTTCGCATTCAGACCATAGGTGGGTTTGTGAACTGTACGTGAAACAAGGATGGTTTTGTCACTGAAGAATGTCGTCCCCTGGAGGACAAGATGAAAGAAGAATAAAATGCCCACTGGGATTCAGCATCTTTCATTTTAATCCACATGGCAGTCCTATGAGGGAGGCAATGTTCTTGGCTCATTTTCCAGTTACAGAAGCCGAAGTTCGGAGAGTTTCTAGGAAAATCGTCCAGATCATAAAGCAGATGTAAATGAGTCTCAAGACCATGATTGGTCATTGTTCTGTTCAAACTCAGGCACAGTTTGGACTTCTGGTTAATCCCGATCCCAGATAATGGCAGTGTGTCTCTACCAACGTCCTTTGTGCTGGCATGCTAATTGTCTTTTTTTTTTTTTTTTTTTAATTTGTTTGACAGAGAGATCACAAGTAGGCAGAGAGGCAGACAGAGAGAGAGAGGAGGAAGCAGGCTCCCTGCCGAGCAGAGAGCCCGATGCGGGGCTCAATCCCAGGACCCTGAGATCATGACCTGAGTTGAAGGCAGAGGCTCAACCCACTGAGCCACCCAGGCGCCCCATGCTAATTGTCTTCTAAAGAAATCTTCTCAGTTCGGCAGCTTGCTACTATCAGTGTCAATGTAGTAAACTCTAGATACGTAAACACAGGCTATTTGGGGTCATTCTAATGGGGTCTACTGAGGACAGTGTGAGGCACCTGGACCTCCCAGAGCAAACTCTAATAGCTCTGTTAGCATTAGACAGCACGATCTAATGGAGGGCCTTTTCCTAGCAGCTCATTGATTATAAATACTACTCTTAAGTATTCATCTGTGGCCATAAAAAGTACTTGTCCAGATGAAAATAATGATTTTTGGAGCAGTGATGTAAATTCTGAGCATTTGCACCATGGCAGCCATTGGTGGAGGGAGACCTCTAGCTTATAGTGAGTTCTCTTATGTAGAAAATTAAATGAAAATAAAAAATGTAGTGACTAACAGTGTCAATTTTTTTTTTCTATTTTATAGGTTGATGACCAAATGAAGCTGCTTCAGAATTGCTGGAGTGAGCTCTTAATTCTCGACCACATTTACCGACAAGTGGTACATGGAAAGGAAGGATCCATCTTCCTGGTTACTGGGCAACAAGTGAGTATAGAGACCCCCCACCCCCCAAAAATGTCTTTTTATTAATCATGTTCAGAATGGCAGGAATTTAACTAGGTCAGAAGCACTCTGGTGCTTTGAAAGGAAAAGATTGGCTGCAAATAATTTAGAAAAGCTGACTTGGTGCACTCTGTTCCTACACTGATGATTACGGTTAAACTTGTAAAAGCAAACATAATCACAGACATTCTGCTGCTTTCACTCTGCTGGGATTGAAAGTTGTGCTTTGAAGGCTCAAAACAACTGTTAAATCAGAATTAATGATGAGTACCCAGCCATCTTTCCTCGGATTTCTGCATTCATCTACCACACTTGTTTTGTCAGTTATTAAAAAAAAAAAGCTTATACCTTGCGGAATCCTTACTATTTTGGCATGATAGTGGTGGAAGAGACTGATTCAGATATCATACATAAATATTGGCATAAAGGCATGCGAGGGAAAAGGGACAGGAGTTCCGGTTTTTAGGAGCTGCCATCATTCAAAAGGAAGATGGAAAAAATTAATGTTAGTCCCTACTCCTTTCTGAATAGATACTCGGTGGGTCAACAGATATTTGTTGGACATCCCACAGCGTGCTAGCCACTAGTGTAGGGCAGTGGCATGCATTAGAGAGCAACACCGGAAAAAGACCCTGTCCTCATGACACATGACTTTGTAGCAGGGAGAAGCTGATCATAGTGAATCTTCATGTAACATTTATGTATATGAGAAACGTATAATGTATTAGAGGTCAAAGTGCTGTTTGAATAAAAGAAGAAAGGAGAAAAGAGGACGTGCTACGCAAAGGGGAATGCACACATATCCAGGGGGTACGTGGCATCCTGACCCAAGGATTGCCGTGTTCAGTACGAGTGGTTGGGTTTGGTCTTTAATGAGACGGTGATGTTTAGCAAAGACTCAAAGGCGGAGAGATTGTTGTTGGCTTCACGGATATCTGGGGAACAGAAAGTACTTAATGGACCTAAGTCCAACTTATAGGATTTTGGCATGTCCCTCCCAGTCCTTAGCCTTCCTTCAGTAACTGATGTGTTATTAAAATAAATGCATGGAACGCAGTGATTCCCTAAGTCCATTGGGTCATTCCTATTCAGGCCTCGCTGCAGCGTTCCGCAGTGCTTCCGGACTTTAGTGCCCAGGCCCCGTGATCTTTTACATACAGCCATAAATGTTTATGTGCTGTGAAACCACAGCAGTGAGATTTGAAAATGAAAGGCTGTCTCCACGCCATTTGCTGTATTATTAATAAATCACCTTTTCCCAATCAAATTAAAGGCAAGCACTATTTCAGAGTTTTTTCAAATTGGATCAATTCAACCATCTCCATCACTATCTGGTCCCTGCTTTCTGTACATCTCGTGAGAAAAGCCTTCCAGGTGAGCAAATAAAGTCTCAAGGGCTTGACTTTCTGGACTTTGAAATTTGTGTTTAACATTTTTGTCCGGGGACCCAAGGTTTTGGAGGAAACGTACCCATTTCTAGAGTTTAATCACTGGGTAGGCCTCCCAGCCCTCTCTCCACCTCCTTCCCCTTTCCCCCTCCCATCCCTACCCAATGAGGAACTGCATTAGAAGGAACCTCAGCCCACAAATTAATTTGATTTCATTTCCTTCTGAGTTTCAGAAATCAAATGGGTTTGTGCTGTTCTTTCTCAAAGCACTTCCATTCTTGGCTCTTTAGAAATACTCCTTATTTCACATTTCATTTTGCCTTAAGTGCTGCCCCTGGGTAAAGGTAATTACCATTTAAAAAGTAGAGAAAGTGCATTTCTTTTCTCTGATTTTCAAAACCAAGAACAGTCAGAAATAGATGGTATTTATCATCTTAAGTATCAGTTACTGCTGCTTCATGTTTTGCCCTCACAACAGAATACAGAACTCCCTGCCGAAGAACTAGTTCTTCCCCTCTCACCTTTCCTGCCACCCAGAGTCTTCTAGCTCCCTCCTCCGTCCTCGTGAAGTGAGTCACATTTCTGTCAAAGCCCTGCCCTACCCCTTTGCATCCAATCATTGCAGACCTTTGTAATGATTCATTATAACCAAATACTCTTAATTTGTGAAAATTATGGAACAAACCTTGTATTTTCTATTGTGGAATAAGCTAAACATTTTGAATCTATCTCTGGGCTTCCTGCAATTTCTTATTTATTTTTCTTAAGGATTTGATTGGCTTTATTAAGTGATCCATGAATTGGGTAGCATTCAGTTAGGAAGTAGAGAGACGCTCTGGCAGTTTCTTTCGTTCTTTCTTGGGGGAGGGGGTGGTGGGAGGGAGGGAATCGTAAGCAGGCTAGGTGTTCTGACCCTGAGATCAAGACCTGAGCCTTTGTCAAGAGTTGAAAGCTTAACGACCCCCCCCACAGTCACCCAGGTGCTCCAACCTGCAATTTCTTAAATTAAAGCAAAAGAAGTGCTATGAAGGAAGACCCTTGCAAAGCATGTGACCTTTGCAACAGAATGAGGAAGATATTTTAATGTGGAGTCATAGACAGATTTTTACATCTCTATAGCGCCTGTTTAGTGTATGTTAGGTGCCTGAAAAGTATCAGCTGATGGTCCAGAGTAGAACTACCCTATATGACCTCCGTGCTGAATTAAAACAAGTTAACTTGGACTCAACACCCAGAGTACGCTTCCCCATCATCTCATCTCTCTCTTCTTACACCTTCCCATTTCCTGTCGTGGGGCTGAGACCCCAGTACTGGTCTGGCATTAAGAAGTTGTTTTTCACAGCAGTGGGCATGTACTGCTTCCCACCCTGAGACACAGAGAGATAGGTGAAAATGTGAAGTATAATTTCGTTAGAACAATAAATACTTCCCTGACTGCAAGTGTGGGAAAAACTAGATTTTTTTGTTAAAGCAATAATAGAATATTTGGTGTACGCTAATTTTAGGAAGATTGTTACAATAATGATGAAAGGAAGGACTATAGGAAGCATAAGAGTAGAGCAATATTCTGAGGGGAGGGGAAATGATTTTTCTTTTAAGATTTTATTTATTTGAATAAATAAAAGAGCAAAAGAGCGGGAAGAGGAGCAGAGGGAGAGGGACAAGCAGACCACGCTGAGCATGGAGTCCAGCATGAGGCTTGATCTCAGGACCCCAAGATCATGACCTGAGCTGAAACCAGGAGTCGGACGCCAACAGACTGAGCCACCCAGGCACCCCCAGGGTGAACATGATTTTTTTTTTTTTTTTAAGCATGATTTTAAAAAGAAAATGTATGGAGGTAGTTGAAGAAAGCAAAAAGAGGGAACTTACCCTTTTTTAGTATATGATCTAGTAACAGTCAAGCTCCAGACAGAGCATATTTTCATTACTAGTGCATGCTGTTTGCTGTTTGGTATGAAAATGTTGTGTGTGTGTGTGTGTGTGTGAACACACATTAGTCTAGTTGACAATTGAACTGACTGGTGTTTGAGTTCCTCTTCCAAAATTTACTAGCTATACCATCTTGGGGAACTCCCCTTACCATTCAAGTTTCAGTTTCTTCACTTATCCAGGGGGGATTGTAGGGGAATCTGTGTCAGAAAATTGCAGTAGGAATTACAAGAAATAGTTCTGTATGAAAATTACAGGGTATCAAAACTGTGTGAACGTGAAGCTGATAGGAGGTCAACAGCCCTGTGAAGAAAGTACTACTTATTATTAATAGCATCCCCATTTTACAGATGAGTAACTGAGACAGAGAGAGGTAAAGTAGTTGATGCAAAGTCAAAGTACAACTAATAAAAGCAGTAGAATGTTCTGACCTAGGCAGTCTGGTGCCAAAGTTTGTGGGTTTTTTTGTTTGTTGGTGTTCGTGTTCTTTTTTTTTTTTTCCTTCTTTTTTCCTTTTAAGATTTTATTTGTTTATTTTAGAGACAGAGAAAGAGTGAGGAGAGGAGCAGAGGGAGAGGAGCCAGCAGACTCCATGCTGAGCACAGAGCCTGATAAAGGGCTCGATCTCACGACTCTGAGATTATGATCTGAGCACAAGTCAGAAGTTGACGATCAGTCAGCTGAGCCACCCAGGCGCCCCAGAATTTGTTCTTTTTTTTTTTTTTTCCTTTTCAGTGTTCCAGAATTCCAGAATTCATTGTTTATACACTGCACCATACCAGTGCTCCATGCAATACGTGCCCTCATAATACCCACCCCCAGGCTCACCCAACCCCCCACGCCCCAAAAGTTTGTGTTCTGAACCAACATACCATACTGCTTTTCTGTATACCTCACAGATGCTACCAAGTCTTCGTGTATAATTTCTGTGCATGACAGCTTCTGTGAAACTTCCAAGCAAGACACTCATTTCTTCTTTATGAGCCTAAATATATAAATGGCTTTGTTTTACTTATAAATTTCTCGGTGTGGCATTGTTATCACATTGTAAAAATAAATTTAGATCATCAGAAGCATTTTAATGTGATTATTATTTACCGTTCTAAAATTATTTCAGCATTAAGAAAATGCTAGAAAGAAGAAAAAGGGTCACTCATAATGTTACCATCCTAAATCAACTGCTTTTGTTGAGTTTTCTTCCTAAATGCGGTCGTTTTCTTAATTTTCTAAAGGAAACAATTCCTCTGCCACCAAAACACATTGACCTACTACCACAGATTTGTGCAGAAATGTGAACTTTGAAACAGTGATAGATGCCTCAAGTCATGATGTTGATATCATGGTGAAAAAAAATTAAACAGCATTCTTCCAAGGCAGTGTGTAAAATAACCCTATGGGCAGCTTAACACTCACCTACAGGAGAAAAACAGCTTGATTCACTTAATTTAAAAACATTCATGAAGACCTGATAATTGAAGGAAAATCAAAATGGGGGTGGTGGAATTAGAGTCCCGCCCTCACTGGTGATAAGAGGTGTAATTTATCGTCTAATGACACTGATCACTAAGCCTTGCAGAGGGGTTTGCACTGTGCACTTTCACAGGTAAGCCGCGTGACATGGGTTCAGATAAGATGGGAGGAAGGTTCAGAGGAGGAAGTGCAAAGGGAGTCAGATGGGCATGTGAAGCTGTCCAGATTCCACTTCTAGATGGAAGTGCCTTATTTCTCAAGTGATTGTATTTGACCAAACTCCTTCACAGGTTGAGACAGACACCTGCAAATCCTCCCAGGGTTAGAGGAGCAGTGACAAGGAATTTCTGGATAAAACTTTAACTAAACTAACTAAACTTTAACTAGCTAAAATCCATCATCTTTTTCAGCCTCAACTAGAAGAAATACGGTACTCCCGAATTACTCAGTAGAAAGTTGCAGGTTTGGGGCGCCTGGGTAGCTCAGTCAGTTTAGCGCCTGCCTTTAGTCCAGGTCTTGATCCAGGGGCCCTGGGATCAAGCCCCACAGCATGGGGCTCCTTGCTGGGGAGCTGCTTCTCCCTCTGCCTCTGCCTCCCACTCCCCTGCTTGTGCATGGTCTCTCTCTCTCTCTCTGTCAAATAAGTACAATTAAAAAAAAAATTTTCCTGCTTTGCTTACAGAATTTTCTCAGCTGCTCCATGATGAGTTCTTCTAGAACAAATAAAAATGTTGATGCTGAGTATTTTAAGACTAATAAGTAGTAATACTCAGTACGCCTCAGTGTGTACCACCAGGACTGTAGTCCTCACACACAAGCGACAGAGGCAGCAATTCTGTGTCGGCCTGAGCATGCATGTGGCGTCTACACAATGCTTTATAGCATCTCTGCTAGACAGGCTAAGGAATGCAAGGCCCCACCTGCTCCTTGTTCCAATATTCTGGCATTTTCCTCCTGAACGCGGCTCACGGTAAATGCATTTGTTACAATAGAGAAGAAGACTAGACTGGTTTTAAGTGATAGGGGTTCTCCAAGGAACCGGTGCTTGGAGCTTGAAGAGGGAAAGGAAAAAGTTGGATAAAATAGCACAACTTTTTCAAAAGTCCCATGGCTAACAAGTTACCTAGCACATTATGTTCACTAAATAAATGTCTGCAGAATTGAGTGCCTTTGTAGTTCACTGAGAATTAGAGCAATTGAAAGAATTCGACTGCAGGGCGCCTGGGTAAAGGTTCAGTGTCTGCCTTCAGCTCAGGTCATGATCCTGGGGTCCTGGGATCAAGCCCCATGTCAGGCTCCCTGCTCAGCGAGGAGGCTGCTTCTCCCTCTCCTTCGGCTGCTCTCCGCTCTCCGTCCACCACTCCCCTGCTTATGCTCTGTCTCTCTCTCCCTCCGCTCTGTCTCTATATGTTTCTCAAATGAATAAATAAAATCTTTAAAACAATAATAGTAATAATAATAATAAAAAAGAATCCCACTGCAAAGAACAGCTCAGGGCACCACTACCTAGTATTGAAATGAGGATATGGTGGTTCACACCGAATTTCTTACTTAAACCTAGGGTCAGCTATCATGCATTCATTATGTCTTTTTAATCAGCCATCTATATAAGCATATGTTAAATCTTGTTAAGCAAAAAGGGAATAATGATTATTGGTAATATTATTAATAATTTTAGTAACTTACATTAATAATCAGTGTTAATATTATCATAACATCTGGATTATAAAATGAATTCTATATCTTTTACATCTTAGAATTTTGAGAAGAATTTGTTTCTATCCAGTATTTTAAAAATACATGTACATAAAACCTATCTGTGTATATATATACTTACATACAAATAAAATAACAATGGAGTACTTTGAAGTGGGATTGCTTTTAGTATTTGCATATTGTAGCTAATTAACAGCCACTGTAACATCATCCTAAGGGAAAGGTCTACTGGCAACTTATTCATTATCTTCTATTATTGTGTATCATATTAAAATGACAGGCATCTTACAATGTACAAGTCATCAAAAATTTCAGTTATTAGAACTAAAAGCAATTTAGCTAAAACTGTTTCTTCCTTCATGATGAGTGAAATTTATCCAAAGGGGACAGCAGCTTATAGTATTTCTTCAATATCTGCCTTGAATTTAATGGCACAAAGATTACATGTAAGAGAGCAATAAATTAATTTTACTAAGTACATAAAAGACAAGGCCAGCTGCTCCTGAAATGAGCACAAACTCTGCATTCAACAATGAAAATATAATTATGTTTGTAATAAAATGTAAGGAAGTTGCAGATCTGTGTGCTGTTCCAGGAATAAATCATCCATCCTCCTCCGGAGCCCTGCAATTTGATAAATTATCCTTGAAGGAAATGTTATCGGAGCTCCCATTTAATAAGCATGTTTGAGCTTTCAAATTAGCATGTAAATAAATGTATAGCTATAAAGTTGTTGGTATGCCAATTGATTTCCTGAAGTTCATCTCACTAAAGGTCTCTCACTAAATAGAATCTTACGAAACAATTTCAGTTCGTTTCCGGTATAGTGCACTGTATTTTCAAGTATAAAGTTCTAGGACTTGAACTTAGTATTACACACCTATTAGAACTGCACACATACCAAATTTTAATGAACCAGTCTTTTTTCAGAAAGTAGGTTTTGGTGAATGATGTACTACATTTTCAAGCATGATGTTCTAGCATTTGAACTTCTTGCAGACTTGTTAGAACTATACACTTATCAAAGCTCTGTTAGCTTCATACTACAAAAAATACCAGCATATTTGCAGTTTATTTTCATGTACTTTCCTGGTTGAAGGCTTCACTCGAGATCTTGATCAAATGTGCTGTGTACATTCTATGCTGCGGCTGCAGTGCATTCAACAACCGATTCTCAGCTAAAATTGGTAGTATTATTCCAAGTACGCTCATTTCCTGATAATCATAGAAATGGGAGGCACCTTTACTAGCCTCTAGCTTAACTGCTTTATTTAAAGATGAGGGCACCAAGGGATGGGGACTCCATAGGACTTGCCCAAGATGCTTCATTTGTAAGTGGCCGTGTTGGCCCAGATCTCCTATCCTGTCCCAGTTTTCTTCCACTGTGTGACCCCACAGGGCCTTCCTGCTGTCATTCACGCACTGATCCTATTTGTCTCTGTAGGATTTCTTTTACTACCTGGGGGATAGGGAGAGCATGGATAGTTGCTAAAGAATTGAGAGCTCAGGCACCACTTTAAGAAGAATTTCCCGGACCAGAAAGATGTCACAGAACTGGCAAAATGGTAGTTCAGACATCCCTTTGGGGGCCACACTGACCGTCATCACATATTCCAATGTCCCAGCTGCTTGTCCTCTCCACGTCTGGCTCAGGTTTCGGGCTGCCTGGGTCCTGACCCTTTCACACACTCTGAAATAGAAACCAAAGGAGTTCTTAGAAACGCTTGATGTTTAAATTTAGTGGACAAATGCCAGCACATGGACAAAAAAGCAGGGAGGACAGTGCTGTGCTTGGTACAACAGCAGACCTAGAACACACATTAACTGCTCCTTTTTCATGCATAGTTGACTTTATATAAACTGATTGACACCTTTGGGGGTCGTCTTTCCACTGACTCTTAATTTTTCTCACTCTTAAAAAAAGGTTTCTGTACACCCCGTATTCTCTAGTTAAAGCTGAAAATTCAACTCATCATATTTACACAATAAAAAAAAAATCCATTCTGCCTTGTTTTTAATTGCAAATTCTACTCCGGGGACTAGTTCTCCTGCTTAGGAAGCAGCCCTGTGCCTTCTCGTAGAGAAGCAAGTGCAGTCAATTATGGTAATGAAATGTCAATAAATATAAAAATTTAATACAGTCTGCTCCGGGTGAGTGGCAGATGAGGACTTGCCTCCCAGACAAATTTGCTGCTGCTGCAAATATTAAATGCACCTAAAAGAGTATCTGGTTGCCTGAGAGCTCTCCAGTACAAAAAGGAGGGAGCATCAGATACCAACTGGGTTTTCCCATTATGCTGTAATTGCAGCCGCAAAGCCAGTACCGTCATTGACAGCCATCCCAACATCTTAACTTATTATTATAAGCGGAGCTTTTTATGTCCCCATGAATAATCTAAGATTGGTGCATTGCAGCACCTTTTTAAATTTTTTAATGGAGAAGAAAATAAACCTTTTTTATGTTTTCCATATCCAGAAATGATTCTTCTTAAGATGATTGCTGTCTTTAGAGAGAAATATATTAATAATCATATGAATGAAAATAGTGGTTGTTGCTTTTTAGGAAGTAACCTGAAGAAGAACCTGAATGCGATTCTTTCCTCCTTCACAAGCCTGCGTTCTTGGATAATGACTGCTTCCAGACATAGTCCCTTAATAAAATAAAAATGGAAACATACCTCTCTGTGCCTTCACTTTCTCATGCACCGGTGAATTCATCTTGTGCTCTTAGAAAGCTATTCTGGATTCACTTTTTAGGGGTAGTATAGTTTTCTTTAAACTTATTTGAGACCCAGTTAAAAATGTTAGCCTTACATGAAAATGTAATTTCACAATAGAAAAAAGATGAAGGGACATTTAGGTAGCCAAGGTCTGTTCCCTACAAAGCTTATCAAAATGATTAGATGTATCAGAATAATTAAGCTCCATCTCAAAGTCATAGTATGTCTCAAACTGTTTTTGGGGGAATGTCCCCGCTGTTATAAATCTGTAATGCCATCTGATTTTACCCACGATTCCTAAAAGTTTCAGTAAAATACTTGTCTCGATTTTTGTTTGTTCGTGTGTTTCTGATTCTGACACAAGGTTCTGTGTTGCAGGTGGACTATTCCATAATCGCGTCCCAGGCCGGGGCCACCCTCAACAATCTGATGAGTCACGCACAGGACTTAGTGGCAAAGCTACGCTCTCTGCAGTTTGATCAACGAGAGTTTGTGTGTCTGAAATTCTTGGTGCTCTTTAGTTTAGGTAAGGCATCCTTTTCTCATACTCTGTACAACCAGATGTGATTCGATGGTGCTGGACTCCGCGTGTGTTGAAGTCAGTACATGCTTTTTTCTACCAAGATACTGCCCTCCTTTTCAAATGATGGAATTGTCAAATGTGAGTATATTACGTATATGTCTCTGCATAACTCCTCCCCTGTGAGTAGATGGGTTGAGGCATGGAAAAGGTGTTCTTAGGCTGGAGTCCTGAAGTTTCTCCCATAGCGGACATAACAGGTAGGCAGCAGCCGTAGAAGGCTGTGTCAGAAGGCTGAATGGAGATCGCTTAGGAAAGACGTATGGGATCAAAGTGTAGGCACCCTTCTGGTGATCGTTTCTATGTGCCTTTCGTTGGAGCTTGCAGACTACTGCTGTAGTATATTTACAGTTTACTATTGTAAAATATGGGTCGTAATTAAAAACCTGTTTCTTAAATCTTGATCAGGATTAGCCAGAGAATGTTTATAACTAGATGCATCACTATGCAAGTATAAAAGATGATGGTTGTCAAGGGGAAAGGATGCTTCTTTAGGAAAGCTTTGGGGAAGAAAGATAACTAAGCAAGACAGATTGGCTAAATCAAGGTTCTCAGTGAGTCAGTTGAGAAAAATCACCACTGCTTGGAATAAAAAAAGGATTAAGGAGATGGATTTTTATTGACTTCAAAGGAGCAGATTTTTCTGCCTGTCCCATACTTGATTTCTGTATTTTGTTGGCTTAATAAAGCCAACTTAAATAAACGTTTTGCCAAGTCCATTTATTACTTATTGGCAGACAGCTGAGGGAGGCAACTTCCCCTGAATGAAAAAAATGCAGAAATCAGATTTACCAACATATGTTTTTTCTTTAGTCTTCGGTTATAAGATAGTTGTGAATTCATAGCCTAAGAAATAAAACAATAAAACAAACTGCAAAGTAAAACAGATGTGTCTACTCTCCAGATTTGGTACTTTCTCTTTAAAATTCCTCTTGACAGCACTGCACAACTGTTGCTAATAAAGGGATAGTTTGAAGTAATAGAACCAGAGTTAATTTTTCACATGTAGTCAACATTTAACATAAAAAGAACGTTTTCATATTTTGGAAAATGTGATAAATATAGCAAAAAGAAATGTTACTGAAAATTTAAAAAGACAACAGAATTTCATAGATGTAGTGTTCAAAGGTTTACAATGCCAGGACTGGATGCTGTGTGGTTTCTGCATTAGCCATTTTAAGTAGGAAAGTTCCATTCAAGTAAGTCGACATCTTTTACCCATGAACAGTTTTTAGAAAAGAGGAAGATAGCACAGGCATGCTTGCTCTAATCTCACAGGCCATTCTGGTGTTTGGCAAGATCTTAGTCTTTTCAACTGGCACATTTGATCAGTAATTAAATGGAAAAAGTGGCAGTATTTATGTAAGGAATCTTAGAGCATTTTAGTGATAAAATATTTAAAGAGAGTCATCTCCTTCAGTGGTATTTTTATCTTATTTAAAGATTTTTTTTATTTATTTGAGAGAGAGAGCATGCATGAGAAGGGAGAGGGTCAGAGGGAGAAGCAGACTCCCTGCGAAGCAGAGAGCCTGGTAGGGGCGACTCGATCCCAGGAATCCAGGATCATGACCTGAGCCAAAGGCAGTCGCTTAACCAATTGAGCCACCCAGGTGCCCCACTTCAGTGTTATTTTAAATTAGTTGAATAACTGCATTTCATTTGAAGATATAGATATTACCTATGGGCCATGTTTTTTTTTCCACGCTTTTATCTTACCTTCATCTTTTTTCAAAATTACTGTGTTTTCTGCCAACACTAAAGAAGTAGGGGCTGAGGGTGGTGGTTCTGAAGTGCTTTCAGTCCTTGAACCTCACAAATTATCCTCCTGAACCATTGGGCCATCTATGTCCCAGAACCTCAGCCACACACACTCTTATTTGAGTGTGTTGATTATGTCTGGAATTTGGGGACCACTGACTGTCTAAACTCGCTGTCCCTTAAACTGCCTTGTTTGTTCTTTAAGGAAAAAAAGAAAGCTTAGCTTTCATACCAGAGGGAAATAGAGTTTTGGTCAAGTTTATTTATTTATTTATTTACTTATTTATTTTTCAAGGGTTTATTTTTAAGGAAGCAAGAAAATGGTAACTGGCAGTAACATTCTGGTAGTTTCCAATTTGCAGATGGAAAGTATTTCCCCCCGGAGAAACAATAAATTACCTTTTTTGTGCAACTTTATTGTGGTATGTGGATAATCAACTTTTAGGTACCCAGGCCAGTCCTGGAACACCTGTTTCGCCGGTAATGGGAGTGAACTCCTAGCAGAGCCCCCCCTTGAAAGCTGAGTCCAAGTCCAGAATCGGTACCTGCTGTGTCAAACCCTCATGAACTTTGCACACCCCTTCCCGTCCAAGTCTGAAAACCCATGCATTCTGATCCCAGCCCAGCCTTGAGCCTCTCTGTGAGGCTCAAAGTGAAGTCAAAGTCAAAGTGAAGACTTTGTGAACTGATCATAGGTTCGGGGCTGTGTGGAGATTGGACTGTAGCAGTATTCTCTTGGTGGATGATGAAACCGTGTTTACCAGATGGAGCTTTAGAGCGAAAGTAGGATGTGAGTCCTAGCAGGTACAACAGTTGAAGCCAGATTGGCTGGTGCTAAAGCATGGAGGCAAGGGAGAGCAAGATGAGTTGGGGAGCCAGTAGGAGATCAGTATGGTTGAGGAAAGCCTCAGTTATGGCCAGAGGGGTGGGCAAGAGCCTGGTCACTGAGGACCTTAAGGCATTCAACAAATGTTTACTGAGCACTTCTCTGTGTCAGGTGATGAGGTAGGCGCCCGGGATAGTGGTAAACCAAATTAGGTACCATGGTCTTCATCCTGTAGGCAGTTAGGAAGTATGGCTGGATTCTTTTAAAAAAAGGGCTGAGGTGTGGGTAATGTAAGGTGATTCGCATTTCTGGTAGTGATGTGGACTGGAGACGAACAAGGCTGGAAACTCTGTTCAGAGGTGGTTTTAACACTCCGTGGAGATAGGAATGCACCACGTGAACAAGATAACAGGATGCAAACCGTGTGACAGAGTTAGGAGGAAGAAGGGTCGCATGAGTCTTAGGTTTCTGGGTGCTTGAACCAGAATAGAAGACTCTAGAGGAGCAGTAGCCTATTAGTGGAGTCAAATCAAATTCTGGTAGAAACCGTCCTCCTAAACGTCATTCTTCACTAAAGCTGAGTCCTGATTCCATGAAAACCTAATGACATGACTAACCTAAATATACCGTTGACTAGGAATTTTCCATTCCACTGCCTGATTTCTTTTTTTCTTGTGCAAGTTGTATCCATCCAGGAACAGACATCAATTAGTTAAGCTGTTGAAAAAAGAAGTTAAGGTAAAAAATGTCCCCTCTCTTAGAGTATTTCTGTATATAATATAGTAGGCTCTGGGGGCCCATTCTGCTAGTAATGTTTTCTTAAAATCCTGTTAAATTTATATATATATATATATGTATATATATATATACATATATATATATACATATATATATATATAATTTTTTAAAAAATTTTCTTAACACTGAGATAACATAACTTGAGCCCATTGATAATTTGGCAAAAGAGGAGATACTCTACATGGGGCATTTAAAACTGATGACCCAAGAGAAGATAAAATAAAATTTTTGATGTTGATCTGTTGGTGTGTACTTCCACCTTCTAAAAAGGAACCCAAGTGACTGATGAAAGGAAATTTGCTGTCTGTCACCAACAATGCAGAAATAAAACTTGTAGAAGTAGTATGTGGAATCATGACCCTCAGATAATATCATTATTGCATGGGTTCCAGAGATGAGCAGAATTCCCACAGACGTGATCTGAAGACAAATGCAGAACTGGGAAACAGTCACCTGGTTTCGGACAGCATATCCTGAATAGTGTCCTTACATGTTCAAGTCCATCAGGAGTATCTGTGTGGCTTCAGTGCTCAAAGCGACTGGGTAATCAGAATGTGCCAACTGAGATGTTACTCTGGCCTTTGGATTTTCTTAGCCTCAAGACTTAATGGCTGGATGCTGCTGGACTCTTGTTATATCCCGGGTGGCAAGAGAAAGTACTAGAGGCATACTGCATGTTATTTCCCCTAATGAAGGCCCTTGATTTGTTGTAAATTATTCTCTTCTTTGCCCAGCCGGTGTTTCTCAAGGCACTGTTTTATATTCAGCTGAGTTAAAGAGATTGTTTTTCTCTTTGAGGGGATTTTCCCAGCCCCCAAAGCAGCTAAGGTTGCCCCAGGTATAGGCTGTCTGAGTGCACTGGAAGGGGTGAATGATTCTGCTCTGTTTCTGCACTGCTTCTGTGCAGACCGTGTTCTAGACTGGGGCTCAGTTGGGGTTAGAAATTGTCCTTTTCTCTGTATTCCAGGTCTCTGGCACATTTCCTGGTACATGGTAGAGGCTTAACAAAATATTACTGATGAGAAAGGTCCATGCATGGATTGATTTAATTTTAAATTCAAAGCAAAGCTTTTACCAGAGTGGTTTGGTGACATGTCATAGGAGGTTGTCATGTCTCAAGGGCAGGATAGTTTTCTGAGAATAGTTTTTCCAGAGAACTCTCCTGTACCTCCTCAAAGTTAAATTATTTCTATTATCAGTTTGCATTCTCCCAGTGTATAAGGGGAGATGTTCATTTATTAGCTCCTGGGGAAGGTCAACTTGCAGAAAGACTAGAAAGAATATTCATGGCTAAAACTAGGTGATAAAGGCATGTCTCTTCCAAGCAAATGCAAGATCATAGGCTGTCAGCCCATGTTAACTAACAGTAGTTGAGAAATGTTGTACAGCTCCTTCTTGATACTGATGGGAGCCTGCCTACGCTAACTTGGCTGAACAAAATCGTATCTTTGTTCATTGTGGTAGCTCTTTGAGTCACACCAGATTTCCAAATTTGGAATGAGACATTGACTATACCATCACACATCCCACACAAGATTCTTCTTCATGGCGGTAGACCCGGGGA